GTCTGTTGTTCGTTTCGCTCGGAATTTTGGACACTTGCAGACCCCCACCGTGGTTGAAACTGGACAAACTTTCAAGTTTCTAGTCGTTCCAGGCTGGACGTGAGAAACTTTAGAAAATGAGTCAACTTGAAATTTCTGGCCAGGCTCAACTGTAAATTTGTTAATTCCTGCAAAATCAGTCTGTTGTTCTTTTTGCTCGGAATTTTGGACACTTGCAGACCCCCACCGTGGTTGAAACTGGACAAACTTTCAAGTTTCTAGTCGTTCTAGGCTGGACGTGAGAAACTTTCGAAAATGAGTCAACTTGAAAGTTCTGGTCAGGCTCAACTGCAAGTTTGTTAATTCCTGCAAAATCAGTCTGTTGTTCGTTTCGCTCGGAATTTTGGACACTTGCAGACCCCCACCGTGGTTGAAACTGGACAAACTTTCAAGTTTCTAGTCGTTCCAGGCTGGACGTGAGAAACTTTAGAAAATGAGTCAACTGGAAAGTTCTGGTCAGGCTCAACTGCAAGTTGGTTAATTCCTGAATTTGGGACACTTGCAGACCCCCACTGTGGTTGAAACTGGACAAATTTTCAAGTCTCTAGTCGCTCCAGGCTGGACGTGAGATACTTTTGAAAATGACTCAACTGGACAGTTCTGATCAGGCTCAACTGCAAGTTTGTTAATTCCTGCAAAATCCGTCTGTTGTTCGTTTCACTCGGAATTTGGGACACTTGCAGGCCCCTTTTATGCAGGCAGAAAACTGACTTAGGGACATCATCTGTTGACCTTGTGTCAGCAGATTTGCAAGATTCTTTCTTCTCCCGTTCTTGAGCTTTTAATCAAAGTGCGACTATATTGAGCCTGCTGAATGTCTCTCAAAAAAATCGACGTTTTTTTCGGTTTTCTATCCTACATTTCGCTGGATCATCTGCAAATTATTGTGGCTTTCAGATGCATTCCAAAATGGCTGTTCTGCGATGGCAAAGACGATTGTCGCGACAACAGCGACGAACTGCCAGAAAACTGTCCATCTTGCAACCCGGACACGGACTTCAAGTGCAAAAACAACCGTTGCGTGCCCAAGCAATGGACTTGCGACTTCTCGGACGACTGTGGTGATGGCAGTGACGAAGTCGATGAATTGTGCAAAGGAGTCTACAGGTATTCATCCAGCATTAACCAAAAATTTTTTGAGGACGGTTTTTTTAATAGGGACTGCTCGGAGTCGGAGTACCAGTGCATGAACGGCAAGTGCATTTCCTCGCGATGGAGGTGCGATCATGAGGACGATTGCGGCGACAATTCCGACGAGATTGCATGCCACGGGTTCCAATGCAAAAATGGTACGGTACCAGAACCAGTTTAAGTACCACTACTAGAGCTCGGGGGGTTTTTCAGGCACCTTCCAATGTGCAAGCGGGCACTGTATTGCAGCCTACTTCAGATGCGATGGAGACCGCGACTGCCGCGACATGTCCGATGAAAAGAACTGTCCACCCAAGTACCCGGGAGGACGCTACTGTCCAGAATCCAGGTTCCAATGCGATAACCATCTGTGCATCAGTCAGGGCGATCTCTGCGATGGTGCTGACGACTGCGGGGACAATTCCGATGAAGCTCCAGCTCTTTGCACCAACTTCAATTGCGACAGCCTCAAGCGGTTCCAGTGCACCAATCACAAGTGCATTCCCCGTTATCAGCTATGCGATGGAATAGACAATTGCGGCGATGGTTCCGATGAGAACAACATGACGCTGTGCACGAAGAAGTTCAAGCCCTGCAATGTCTTCAGTGAGTTCAAGTGCGCCAATGATAAGTGCATCGATAAGAAGCAGATTTGCGACTTTGCCGACGACTGCGGCGATAGTTCAGATGAACTGGGCTGCCACCACAACAATGTCTGCACTGATCTGACCAGAGGCGGTAAGTTCGGGGTATTTTTGCAGTTGTTGGCACTGTTGAGGCCTTCTCTAGGTTGCGAGCACAGCTGCATGAACTTGACCGGGGGCGGCTACATTTGCGTCTGCTTCACCGGCTTCATCATTTCGAAAGACAACAGAAAGGTGTGCCTGGATGTGGATGAATGCGCCACTGGACTGCACCACTGCTCCCAAACGTGCTCCAACTTGAACGGAACTTATGCGTGCTCGTGCAAGGAGGGTTTCCATTTGTCTGATCAATTGTCCGGAGTTTGCAGGTGATTTGTCGTTTTACATGAGATTTCTTTGATTGCATATACTTTCCTGACTGTGTTTCAATTCAAAATCAAATCTATTCCTTTTTCCTAATTAATAATTAAAATAATTAATTAGATAGTTAAAAAAAATCATTAATTTAAAAAAATATTACAGTAAAGACTCAGGGGGTCTTTGTGATTTTATAAAGCAGCAAAAAATACCAAAGCATCATCGGATAATATCATATATCATTATATACAAATATACCAATAGATTACTCAATAAGCTGTATAGAAAATAAGTGGGCACAGCTAAAAGAACATACAAACTTACCCGAAAAATAATTTATTGAGGCGGCAGAGCTGTGCTTAAAATCCACATATTTCCAGTACGAAAACAAGTTCTATTCACAGATATATGGAGTAGCAATGGGCTCTTCAGTCATTTATTGTCTATTTATCAATTAAAAAAACGTTTCGGTGTTTTCCACCATCATCAGTTTCAATGTGTAGCGTTGTTGCTACTTTAAGCCTTGGCATATATTTCTAAAATATACAACGCTACACATTGAAACTGATGATGGTGGAAAACACCGAAACGTTTTTTTAATTGATAAATAGACAATAAATGACTGAAGCTCAGGATTTGATTTTAATTTGGAATTGAAACACAGTCAGGAAAGTACGTACTATTAATGGTAAACTCAATAATACTAAAACGGAAGTCACTTCTCTTTCTCTTCATTTTCGTTATAAAGTCTGAAGAGGAACACTAATTTCCCTACTTTTTCGATTCCCAATCTGTTCCTGATATCCGAATGTGCTGAACATCC